CTGGGAGAAAATACTTGCAAGTCATATGTTTGATAAAGATCTTGTTCCAGAATATATTTAAACCTCTTACAACTGAATAATATGATAACCCAATTAAAAAGGCAAAAGATTTGAGTAGACATTTCACCAAAGAAGATGTAAGAATGTCTGATAAGCACATGAAAAGATGCTCAATATCACTTGTCATTAGGGAAGTGCTAATTAAAGCCATATTAATATACTACTTCAAAACCACTAAAATGGTTATAATCAAAAAAATAGACGTGAACAAGTGTTTCCAATGATGTAGAAAAACTGTAATCCTCATTCATTGCTGGGGAAAATGTAAAATGGTACAGCTACTTTGAAAAGTAGTGTGGTAGTTTGTTTAAAAATGAACTTAAACTTACCATACAAACTAGTGACTCCACTCCTCCCCTAGGTATCTTCCTAAGAGAAATGAAAGTATATATCCACACACAGACTTGTATATGAACATTTACAGCAGCATTACTTATCACAGTCAAAAAGTAGAAACAATTCAAATGTCTGTCATCTGGTGAATGGAAAAGCAAAATGCAAGATATATATGTATATATAGGTAGACAGATACACATATAGATATATCTCTATGTATATATATATATATATATACACACATATATATGAATATATATTCATACATTGGAATACTATTCAGCAATTAAAAGGAATGAACTACTTTTACATGCTACAAAATGGATACACCTCAAAAACATGCTAAGTGAAGGAAGTCAGATGCAAAAGACTACATATTGTATGATTCCAGTTATATGAAATAGCCACAAAAGACAAATCTATAAAGACAAAAAGCAGATTAGTGTCTCTTGGGACTGGAAATGGTTACAGAGACTGACTGAAAACTGGCATGAGGGATCTTTCTGGAGTTATGGAAATGTTCTAAAATTGGACTGTGGAGATGGCTGTACAAGTCTATAAATTTACTAAATAGCATGAGAGTATTATGTAGATGGGAGTACGTGGAGAAAGAATAGAGAAGATAAAGGTGATGAAGGTGAGAAGCAGGCATGGAGAGGGAAAGGAGAAAAGTAATCAGGTAAAGAAACTATATATGTTTTCTCATCTTCCCTTCTCTTCCTCTTTCCCCCTCTTCTCCTTCCCTAAGCATCAAACTCTCTCCAACAAAAATACAGTTCTCTAAAGCTATGGGCTATGATGTAGCCTCATAAACAATTGGAAGTGTGTCTGAACACGGTGGCTCAACCCTGTGTTTGGCCTTCACAAGACTATACCTGTTATATACACACAAATATACATAATAAAACTGTATAAATGGCTATACATAAATACATCATACATTTATCCACACAAACACAGACTAAAAGCTTAATAAATATTGAGTTAATGAATTGATTAATAAAGCTGGGCTGCCAGAATCGTCATCTCTAAGGGGCTAAGTTTTATAAGGTCATAATTTTGATTTTATGAAATTGCTCAGGAGACATCAGGTTCCAGGGAACTGATTCATATAACTAAAATCAAACAAGAATAATTGGTGAATGTATAGGTCAGGCATAGGTATAAATATATGACACTGATTCCGTAATTAATTACAGTGGCTTTTATTTGTTCTCAGAAGTGGGCAGATCAATTTGGGGAACAATTCATAATGTAGTGTTCAATTAGAGATGCTGCATTATCTCCAGAGAACTTTTGTTAAGGATAGCCCTCTATAGAACAAACACCATCTCTCCGGAGCAGAATTGGATTAAACTTCTTATTCTACACTTCCAAGATTTGAGTCTCGGCTTCAAAATTCCCCCCTGCTCTTCCTTACTTTAGATTCACCAATGATTCATAGAAATGCAAATAATTACAATAATCACCTAGTATTAATCAAATATAGAGTTTACAATTTATGACAGTTAAGGAAACATTTTATATCTACAAAACATAGTTGTTAAAAATCTTGTATCAAGAAAGTCATTCTTTGACTTTGACATCCTAAACTTTCTTAATCTTCACCTCTTGATACTGGGTATATTTTGCTTTCATGGTATGTAGCACACACTATTCACTGATTTTAAAGTAGAAAAAAGTTTAGATACTTTAAACTTTAAAATAGTTTAGTCACTTTAAGTTTAGATACTCCAGGAGAAACAACCAAAGAAATATCTACTTTAGTTTTTCCAATGCCAGATTTGCTCTAGAGATAAAGTACTTGTTAACAGGATGTGGGTATATGGGAGGATGAGAGAACTGACCAGTTCTCTTGTCCCTCCCTAAATGTGTATATAATAGTTAAACTATTATGTCTGTCCAAAAAGATATGGTTACAAAAATGAAAATGGATAAAAGATTGGAGAGACAAGTCCAAGCTAGGAGGATGATCAGATAATTTTTGAGGGGCAAGGGCCTAAATATACAACACAGAATCGTTGTGAACAGAATACAATGGATATCTTAAGGGATATGATGCTAGCACAAGAAAAACTATCAGTAGTTGTAAAATGAATTAGAAGAATCAGCAAAATAAATCTTCAAACCCTAAAAGGTGTGTTTATTTGGGCAAACTGCTTATTTGTCATATCAAAAAATAGAAATGCAATTTTTAAAATAAAAGCAAGGGGGTGGGGAAACAGACCAACTCTAGTCTTCTTGACTACAGACTCAAAAACCATCTATATCTACCTTGATAGAAATGCTCACAGGAACATTACCAGATACTTTCTACCTTATTGAATTTTTAAATACATAAATTTGGTTATTTTTCTATCTATTGCTATCTATATCCCTATCTATTTTCTTATCTATGACTGTGCCTTTTCTCCTCCTCAAAAATGATTCTTTGTTTTTGTTAATCCTTGAAGATGGATTGATGATGATGGGAATCAAGTGTTGTGTAGCTAAGGTGACTAAACAACATTTTTAAAATGTAATTAGCTCCGTCTCTAAACTGTTTAGCATAATTTGGGGGAAGGATGGAAAGGGGCAGACTCTCAGTTATTTGGAACAGACATATATACAGAAAGATGCCTATACTCTCCCCACCCCCACCAAACCACATCAGTTATACCAATTAAAGATTTATTTAATTTAATAAGCTCCCAAATTCAGAGATGCCACAAACCCTGGAGGAATTATTCCCATCAGTCATTTGTAAGTAAGTTTTAATTGCTTTGAGCTTATCTACAACCAGCTGAGATTCTTTGACAAACCAATTTTATTTAGAAATATTTTAGAAAGAAAACAAACACTTTAGGCACAGCATGTATTCCCTAGCTCATCAGAGGCCCTACCACTCCTTACTGTCTTACACTGACCAGTTTTAAACATTACACCTAATTGGTCCCTCATGACAGGTATAATGCCCTGTTTGGGGAATGCATTGTTTGAATTGTTTGAAGAATATTTTGCTGTGTTTGGAGAAAAGAGCTAAGCTGGGTGGAGTCTGACACTGGAGCAGGGTAAGGTTAGGTGGGGTAGTCATGAGTAGACAACATAAAATACCAAAGAATGTCAAGGAGCATGAAATAGAAAATACGACGGGGAGGGATCAGTAAATGGCTTTGTCTACTATGTAATAATTTTGCCTCATTCTAAGCTGATCACATCACTCTTGCTCTTGTCCTAGAACGTATGATACCTAGACTGGTTGGGAAGATGAATAATCTCAGGCTACCCTAGTTATGCCCCCTGTAACCAAATTACCTTCAGTTCAGCTCAAGTCTCCATTTGGTAGCTAACTCTCCCCCAACTTCCCCCACTCCAGGGAAGGAAGAGAGAGCTACATTCCAGTTAATGGTTAGTGATAGGAGAAAAGACACTTGTTCTTATAAGATCCTCATCCCTTGCTACCTTATGAGAACTTCAAATTCTAGAGTGGAGTGCATAAATACACACATGTGCTTGTGTATGTGTACACTGCCCCCCCAGCATACACACGGTGCTCCAACCAAACATGGGTTAGCTACAGATATACATGGCCATGGACAAAAATGTTATTATCAATTTGTAACAGTAATTTTAAGAGAATTCTTGGTTGTTTTGTTCTAAGGTTTACCAAAATGTCTTTTTATTAGGAATCAGAATATTTTCAAATTTATACTATCCATAATTTTAACTATAACCCATAGTAGTTGACTCAATAGTATTAGAGACTCATGGAATCTACAGAATATCATATGCATCATACACACATATATATCACTAGGAAAAATACTGTGACTTAGGAACATTGTGTGTTCGTTGCAACATTGTTCCATGAGATGATAATAGGTCTCTCTCACACACACACACACACACTCCCACACACACACACCCACACACACACAGTGCAATGATTAAACAGGACTGGCTACATAATTTGCAGGGCCCCATGCAAAATGAAAACATGGATCCCTTTATTTAAAAATTAAGATGGCAATAGCAGAGCATTAAACCAAGCATGGGTCTCTTCTAAGCATGAGATCCTATGTGACTGCACAGGTTGCATGCCCCTGAAACCAACCCTGGTTAAATGATTTAAGAAATGCTGGGTTAAAAAAATCTTATACAGATTTTATTGCAACAGGACTTCTCAAGCCTTTTACATGCTAATGTGCATTATGAACCTTCAAGAAGTACATATGCTGTAGACCAGTTCCCAAATATACTTGACCAAACTCTTTTGAATTATTATAAGGGTCATCTTGCAGGACCAGTGTTCTATAAAAGATTGTAAATTTCAGCTTAGGCTGAGCAGCTAGGTTGTATCTGGTTTAATATCAATTTGTTAATCATAACTCACATTTGGCATTTCCCCTATATTTGGAATAAGGTAACTAGAGATAACTACAGATGCAAATGGTGGGCTTCACTAAATCTACTCTCCAACTGTTTGGCCTTTTACTATTTGGAAGGTCAACTCAGTGGTCAAACAACCCAAGTGTTTTCTGGGCCACTGTACTACAGATGGTCTGAGCCATCTTATTTTTTACCCTTTATCTTGTCAATTCAGAGGAAACAACATCCTTACTTACCATTACCCAGTTCCCAAGAAATGTTGTACTTTTTACTGGCGCTGTACTTCAACAGACTCAGGGCACTAGAACTGTTCCAGGAGTTATTGGGATTACGACGCAGTGCATTTAGAGCAAATATCAGGTGGAGTCCAGAGCAATCAGCAAAGTTATAAAGTTTGTCTAGAGACCTGGCTGGGAAGAAGCAGAGAAAGGCTTTAACTTTCAAATCAACATCCCAACAAAAGGAAAATATTAGCTACTACAAAAAGCCTTTCTATGAGCTTCCTGCTAATAGGAATTACACAGAGGCTTCCAAAAGGGACTATTACCTTTTGGTTCAGGGTACATTTCAAGGTGATTTTCAAAAGCAGCACACACAACTCCAGATAAAGTTTGCAAATTGACAACCAAATCTAGTCTATAGTATATTTTATCTGTTAACAAAAAATTGAATTCTTAACATTTAGAAATGGGAAGATATCACAAACTAGCTAGATTTATAGTTTTTCTCAAAAAATCAGAAAATCTGGCACTGCTGGATCTGAACTCCTTTATGAAATGATACGAATAGTGTCAGGAGACAAGGCCAGGAAACAATGACTGGCTGGGAAGTCAGAAAATAGCTCAACCTAGCAGCACTTCCAAAACAAATCTCACTCAATTTCACATTTCTAATATTTCTGAGAATGGAAATACCACAACTACTAATAGAAATATGTTCATTGTTAGGTTGATCCCAGATACCATGAATGCTATTTACCATATGTCCCATACCCATCCCATTCCTTCACGCCTATTGCCACCATTCTGGTTCTGGCTCTCATTTCCATTTGCATGAATTATTACAAGAATGTACTTGCCTGTCTGCCTCTAGATTCTTCCCAGATCGCCAGATTCATCTTCTCCCAATCAATCTCATTAGTTTCACTTATTTCTCAAAACCTTAGTGGATCTGCAAGACTTTTGTTTCCCTTAGTTCAAGGCCCCTACAACTCAACTATAATTTTTCCCCAACTTCAGGTCTCTCTATTACTGTCAAAGAATTCTTTGCAGGTGTTATCCAGTTCTATTTATTATAGAATCCCCTGCCCCACTGGCCTTTGCTCTGATTATTCTCATTCGTCACACTTTTTCTTTCTCTTTTAAACATATCCAGATTTTACTTGTCCTTTTATACAATGTTTCACAAAATATGGATGACATGATTTTAAGTGGTATACAGATTGAAAAAAATTTTAGGTTAATAATTATGTACAGGAGTTCACATTATCTTAGTACTCATTATCCAAGTCCCTAGAGCAGGGTTTCTCAAATGGGATTCTGTGGAACACCATGTGGGGCTCTATAAGATATCATTAGGGGGTTCTGCAAAAGATGACACAGAGTGACCAAGGTGTCTCATAGCAGCTGTTATAGGTCTTTTAGTCCTACGAAGCAGGACCATGATCATTTGGTTGAATCCATTATCAGTTTTTGAAGTGGGATACAGGGTTGCTGCCATTTTTATCTCCATATATGTACAAGAAAGTGTCTTTTAAGAAGCATCAAGAAGAAGGATGGAAATTGTCTCATTTTAGTTGAAAATAAAATCCATGGGAACTTATCTCACATTAAACCCAGAATCAAGTAGCTAAGCAACAACAAACAGCATAGTTTCACATTAAAGAAATAAACTTAATTATTAAAAGAAAAGAAAATAAACTTAATTATTTATTTTTAGTTCCAAAATAGCAATTAAAATTAAAATGCATTTTTAGGCCTATTAAAATTATCATGAAACCAACACATGTGTATACTGATCTTATAATTATCTACATAATCTGACCATGCCACTCAGTAAAAAAAATGGTTTCTTTCAAAGTCTCATAGAAAATGTTTTCTTAAGCTATAATTTTATTCATATTGCTTTGACATATAGTTTTAGTAACTTTACTATTCAATACTGTTAATTTATTTTCATACTGAAAACCACATTAACATGAATTCATAAACCTTATTTAAATAACAAGCCTACCTTTAGAAAAATTATATCCCATTTTGGCTTAAACCGGTTAATTAACAAAAACATACTATGTTTGCCTTATAATTTTTCAAATTCACAAAAAGGAAAAAAGGGATTAATTTCAAGAATGAAAGTTAGTTACTTGTTCTTTTCTTCTTTTCTAGAAAGGTTGTCTAAAAGGTCATTTTCAGTTTTAAATAGGAAGGAAAAAAAACTAAGCTTACAGCTTACCATATATCATGTACCATACCTCAACAGCATTTATATGATAGAAATTTGTGATAATGTTTTAGTCTTACTTGGGTAAGGCACCAAAAAATCAAGTAGAACATTTTAAAAAGAAAGATTGAAGTTTATTCTAACCATACCACTGACCTTTTTGGGGGAACCTACAAAAGAATGGGCTAAAATGTCAGCCAAACTCAACAGATTCTCAGGAAAATATCACTCTATTTAAAAGAGCATTGGCAATTATTATTGGATTGTAATATCTACAACTAAATGATTACACTGACATATCATGAGCTTTATATATAATTTTTATCCACAAGTTCCCTGAGACTTGAGAATATTTCAAGTGTTTCTCTGATATAAAGTTTGAGAAGGCTGTCCTAGAGTTAAAGGATGCATAGGAAAATAAAAGTAATCCTAACACTAAAATATTCACTGTTGAGCTGAGAACTGACTTAAACATTCCTTCCACTTGGCAATATCCTCACTAACCAAAGCAATGATGTTTTTAGTTTCTCCAATATAAGGCAAACTCAGTACAAATCTGTTGCAAAGCCAAGTTGCAAATGTGAGGAAAAGGCACAGGGCTTCGTGAGATCAATGAAAATAATGTTTGATAATTGCTTAAATTACATGCAAATCCACTAATAAGTAAGGATCTAGAAGAACTTTATCAGTTAGCTGAACAAGAGAAAACTCACAAGAGTGATAATAAAACAGGTTGCTCAAAAAATAATTTTATTAAAAGTTCATATGAGGTCTACTTTGATTTTTTTAATACTTATGACTGTGCCACAAAAGTTAAATTATTTTATCAGAAAAATACTCAATATTCAATTAAATATCATTTTGTTCATTCAAATTGTTCATAGCTGCAATAACAGCTTATAATTTAAGTATAAAATGAAATACACTTATTTTCATAATTTTTAGTTTTATTTATAAACTAAAAAGCCAATCAAACTTTTGCATCAAAATTTCATATGAATGATATTCTTTTTAGGTAGATTAATCCCCTTTAAGTGGCCTTTTTCTAGACCTAATTGTCTCCATATGATGAGGATTATCTGTGTTTGTTTCATATGTAATAGAAAAACATATATCAGACACAAAAGCACATCAAACCTGTGATTTTATGGATGTGATGGTTTAAGACAAGGAAAATGGTATTTATCAAAAAAAGTCAGTATAAAGAAAAATGTGGAAAAATAACAATATAGACAGTTTGTTAATATGGCAAAAATTGAGAACTAGAGAGCTAGAAGTTTGGGAAATACTTTGTGAAGGATAAAGTTTAAGTCCCGCCTCCTCCATGAAGCCATTCCTCAGTGAACTCACCAATCCACCTACAGTGACCTCAGCCTTCTTTAAACTCAGGGTTTACACCATTTGTTGTCATCTGAGTGCCTTGTGACATTGTCTTACCTTGGGATTACCTCTTGATTTAGTCACTTCTCCAGAGTGAATGGCATGTTTACCCAGTTAAACTGTTAAGTTCCCTAAGGCTGGTACTGTATCTCATTATATCCTTCACAGCATCTATCAGAGAACAATTTCCTGCCTTAAAATCATGCTTAGGAGTTCACACATCGCAAATCCTGTTTGTTGCACAAAAATGGTCTAGTAAGAAACTGAAAGTTCCGAATGAAAGATATGTATAATAATTATTATTGCTAGTTCAAGAAATATACCCTGAAGTTTATTTTTAAATGACATATATTTGAATATAGAGCATTCAGTAGATGCTCAACAAATGTAATCTTCCTTGTAACATCTGTCAGGTTCCACTCAAGCAAGCAGATACTTAAAGATGACTTCTACTCTCTCCACCAGAGGGTGCCAATGCCTTTATATCCTATAGTCAGGTTGTCTTGGCATCTCACAGGAACAGAACTTTAAGGAGTCTTGTCTAGCAGGCAATTAAAGATGAGGAGCTGGAGTCTTAGAGAGATGGAAGAGAGAGGCTTGGGAGTCATCTACATAGTGCTGAGAAAGCTGATGCTGTGAAAGTTCTTGAGAGTTTTGAAGGACAAAATGGTAGGACAAAACCTTAAGAAATGTCCACATATAAAGGTCAGGAAGGGGCTTCCCTGGTGGTGCAGTGGTTAAGAGTCCGCCTGCCGATGTAGGGGACGCGGGTTCGTGCCCCGGTCCGGGAGGATCCCACATGCTGCGGAGCGGCTGGGCCCGTGAGCCATGGCTGCTAAGCCTGCGCGTCTGGAGCCTGTGCTCCGCAACGGGAGAGGCCACAGCAGTGAGAGGCCCGCGTACCGTAAAAAAAAAAAAAAAAAAAAAGGTCAGGAAGAAGGAAAAAAAGGGGGGGACAGAGAATAAGGAGGAGAACCAGAAATGTAGAATTAAGGGACCCAAAAGAAGACAGTTTCAAGGAGGTGCTGGTCAATTACAGTAGATATTGGTGAGAAATTGAGGAGAAAAAGGAGAAAGAAGAAGTAAACTTATTATGGTTAATCAAAAAATGAGATTAGACTCTAGATTCAGGTTGGGGTGTGAACTTAAAGAATGAGTGGTAGAGAAAAAAGAAAAGACTCTGGTACACTGAACTTACTTCTTGAAGTTCTGTGGCAACAAAACGAAGAAAAGAAACAAAATAATGACTAGAGTAGTACCAGAGATAGGTTAAAGTAAAAAAATCAAGAACCAAGACTACAATCTGTCAAAAACCATTTTTTCAATGAGGCTAATCTCAGCTCTATATTACAAATGGATAAGGTCAATGAATTCACACTAAGATATAAATGATGGTCATTTTTCTCAGTTTCCTCAGCACTTCTCACTTCAAAAACAAAATAGACAAACAACAATCGAAAGAACAAAAAATAGGGCTCCCATTAATCTAAGCAACGAGATGGCTGGAATTTCAAGTAGGATTCATTCATTTATTCAACAAATATTTACTGAGTACCTACTATATGCCAGGAAATATTATAGTCTCCAGGGT